CTCTCTCTCTCTCTCTCTCTCTCAACTGCTCCATCTCCTTTACTTTTTTGGAATATTGCCTATTAGGCTGGTGTTGCAACTCCTTCTTTCCAGAAGGCTGCCAAGGAAAGTAACAAAATATTTTTTAATACCAACGTTTGCAGGGCTTGCCAAGATGAGGGGAGGAAAAAAGTTCATGCTTTATTTATTTATTTTTAAATAGCACACAAACATTTAAAAATAAGCCTTGTGCAATTTTTTTTGGAACCCAAATCAAAGGAGCGTGTGAGGAAAACACTGGTGTGGCGGGGGGGGGGGGGGATGAAAGCCACCCACATGGGTCTACTCCATGAGGGCAAAGGAGAACCACACTGAAAAGTAGTAACAGAGAATCCCTCAAGAGTAAAGCAGTACTTTCACCTGTTGCTCAGTGCTGAGTCGCTTCATTTTCAACCTGAGTTTCTACATATATTAGTAGTTCTAGGTCTGAAATTTCTCCCAGTCTCACATCATACCTTCCCCCTTCCTTCCCTTTGCCAAGACTGCAGTATATATATTTTTAACTCTCTCCCATTACTTTATCTCCATGAAAAGCACACACAGTGGTTACCAGCATTTCCTGTTTGCAGAATGTGCTTTAACTATATCACACCCTACACTGCTGTGATGGAATGCACAGCATATGGTATTGTGAAAGGGTTTACTGTTGAATAATGGCAGAAATGCAGTCCTGCTGGTTTATATCAAACCCTGTCATTCTCTTCACGGAGGTCTCTCCCTCTCTCTCTCTTAGCAATGAGGTACATACAACATGCACACAGCAACATTATACAGGCTTTATGGAGGGTGTTTTCAATGCAGGCATTCAGACTTCCATCGTCTGTAAGCAGCTTTTCGCATATTAGATACAATAAAATAGAGGGATACTTCGCACGTTGTGCATTAATTAACACACTGCTACTTCCTGCACTGTCCCTCCTATTTTTTTTTTTTTTTACTGTCCCTCCTATTTAATGCATGCACACACATGCGCACACACCATGTGCTTGAAACATAAACATCTTAACAGCTATATACCCCACTAATGGCTACAACAAACGGTGCCATAACCAAGCTGGGCCCAGGACTTGGTCCATCCCACACAAGACTGTTGTCAGCATTAATATCTAAAACAATAGCTGTGAACTGCTGGTATTTGTGTCTTACAGCTAACCATGCATGCAGTCCTGGACATCTTCTTTTCACATGTGCAGGGCAGCTTTTCCCAACCTGGTGTATCCCAACTATTTTGGATTACAGCTCTGACCATGCCTAGGCAGAATGGCTGTGCTGGATGCAGTTTATGGCAGCTGGGAACTAGGCTGGCAAGTGTCAGTATAGAGCTAGCTGAAAATTTTCAATGGTTAGAGGAAACAAAATGAATATATCCTATAAACATTTCTACTGTATTACTGTTTCATGCATTTTGGATTTAGGACTAGAGCCTTGTGAATCTTCGCTCAATTGAACCTTGAATGATCATGCCAATTCCATGACTTGGGTAGTGCATCGAGAGATAATAACTTTGCAGAAACATGTTACACATCAACAATTTACCACTTTTGGAAATTTTGTCTCATGTTGCATGAAGTTTGTGATTGTGAAATATTGGGAAAGCTTGAAATGCCTACTTGTGCCTAGATTCCCTAAGTATGGGGCAAAAATGTCAACTCAAAATACACCAACCTTTTATTGTAAACCGTAACCTTGCTTAATAGACCTTACTACTGCTCAAGTTGGGTTGAAAGTTCAATACCCTTAAAAGTAAAAAAATAATAATCAAGATTTCTGAGCTTGTTGAAAATATCCAAGTGCTAATAAGCCATTGCAACCAGGACGCTGCTACAAATTCTTTCAGGATGGCAGTCTGGCAACTTGCTTCTGGGTGGCCCATTTAATAATCCCAAGTAGTGTGCCATAATTCGCTAAAACTGTGATAGCAAAGTACAACCGTGTAATGTTTGCCTTGTGCAAGTAGCAACATGCAGTGACAGCAGGGCAGTTTGAATATGTAAGTACCTAGGAACAGGGATGTGACCTAATAACATAGAAGTGTCTAACAATATTTGTTAGTATTATGACGATAATGAAGGATAATATATTACTACTATTGAGAGAGCTTAATAAGTCAAGAGGCCTTTCACTATCCAAATACCATGGAATATATAACCTCTGTAAACATGCAATATTGAGACCCAATTTACATATATTCACCGGTGCTTATAGCCGCTAACTCACTGAAGTATGAAAACTACAGGGAGATACATTGAATATGCACCAGAAAGTCCTAACTGGCAGTGGTTCTACAGTGCTTGCCTACTGCCTGTATACAAATATGCATTCCATACACCCTTGGATATGCACCCTTTCTACAGAAAGGCCTATGTGGATGGATAGTCAAAGGAATTTGCAGTGGGTTCTTGGGATTCTATCTAGAACTTTTCTTGTCCAGGCTCCAATACTCTGGTGACTGGAGGATTTTTCATCATAGTATTTTCCCAGATCATATGACCATGAACCCTGATGTTAGCAAGCCTGAAATACAATCCATTCTGGAGCCACCCTGGAGCGGCTAATCTACTTACTACTGTTATTTGCAACTGAAGACGACCACACAGTCAAAATGCATTTAAGAACTTTATAATGCTGTTGGTTATGTTCTTCTTGTGTCTTCACATTTTATTTCATTATATGTGATAATATATATGATTTTAAATTCTTTATGTAAAATAATATCAAGGGGGAAATTGCAATTTTAATGGTCTTGATACTGTGCTTCAGTGGTCAGGAACTATTCTTTCTTTCTTTCATTTCTTTCTTTTTTATTCCTCTAGAATTTTTTTTTACCTAAAGTCCAGAATTAGAACATTTTTTAACACTTCTGTCAAAATATGGCTTTGAGACAAGAAAAGCCTTTCCTGGACAACCTTATTATTTCCAATCTAATGGATTAGTGCTCAACAGTCTTTAGACATAGCCCATAAGCAAGTTGTTCACATCTAATTTAAATTTTACACTGAATCTTCTGAGCAGTGCTTTTATTCTCGCCTACAAATATGAAGGGACAGTAGAAACGTGAGATAAATACAGAGGGCAAAATGTCTGAAGAGCAACACAAAATGCCCACCCAAAGCTCCTGAGCTGTATTCACCAAAGTAACATTATGAATTTATAGCAGCTTCAGCAAATAGTGATTCTAACTTCCTTGATAATATCAAAGATCTGTTGTTTTCTTTAGGTTGCACCTGGACAGCTGTGGTAATTCTTTTTTTAAATTCTTTTTAGGAACAGTACCCAAATTTTACTGCATCCTTACTTTACAAAGACACTGATTCAGCTTTTCCAGTTTACATTGGGAATCGTATTAAACACCTATTTCTTGAATTGGATTCAGCCAAAGGGCAGTCCATGGCTCAAATGTCAAATCTATAATTACTTAATTCCAATCTCTTTCACTGTGTCAGATTACATTCAGTTTTAGCTTTAATTACAACTTGCCTGAAGTAGTCTTGTATCAGGCAGCCCAGCCAACTCTCCCACACTGATTAGGCAACACTTGGGATGGAACAGCCTCACACATCAACAACTACAGCACCACAGATCTTCACTATGAGCCAAGCAACAGTCCTTTACTAATGAGCCTAAATATTGCAGAATATCATTCCCAAGAGCTTCTAATAGTTGAAAATTATTCCCCACATCTTATTATTCCACAGAACCCTCTCCCCCCAAAAAATCTGTGAATAATTTCTGCTAACCACTTAGCAACCAAGAGAGAATACCACGGTGGGAATTGCAGAGTATTGCACAGTATTATGTAAGTTCCATTATCCTCCAAACATTTTGCAAATTCCCTTCCATTTGACAAAAAAAGTGCAATAAACACAGTTTTCAAGGCGAGATTGTTCCACCGGGCAAACAGAAAGGCTTGCACAGACAGAACTATCTCCTTCATACTACATTGAATTCCACCCTGCATGTTTACATTATACCATTGCTCAAACATCCATTGCTCATAGCTTAATCAAGAAGTCTTACATTTCACACTGACTGAAACCCAGAAACTAGGACATCAAAACAAACACATTGTTTTAGGAATCACTCCTTTACATATTGCTTGGAATGTACAGTTGGTTTTAAATGAAGTTTAGCTGAATAAACTCTAGCACAGTAGCTAAGTACTCCTGCAACGTTTATGTATACACTGATTCATTCAGGCTTTTTCCATCAGTGACTTTCAATCTTAGGGTATGAATGAAGATTACCAAAATGCCAAGGTTCTGGAATGCCCAAGGCCATGCCTTCTAAGGCAATGCAATTACACTGAACAACAGTGTAATCTGATAGAAGACGTGAACTCTTAACAGATGGTAGGAAGCATACATTCAACAGCTGTACTTGGTTTGTCTTTTCAAGACTTTACATGGCAGTGTCTATTCTTTGCAAAACACTCTGATATCCTAGACTTATCATTCAGCAGAAGATTACAGAGAAATGCAGCGACTTGGTGTTCTTTTCTTCTGCTTCTACTTTTTTTAAAGAAGGCAGAGGCCTTATTATGTGTTAACAATCCATATCCTAAGTGTTTTGGATTTCTGTTTGTCAGCTTAATTCATTGATCCAAGTTCCATATTATAATATGTGAAATAACACCTGAGCTACAGGAATGAAATCTCCTCCTACCTGTTGCTTCCCAAGGATTCAGCAAGCTACTGAATGTTGTAAATAAGAGTGTGAATAAATAGTGAAATATTACCTGTCACATTTAGCCATGTAACAGTTATTTCCAAGTTACTACAAATAATGCCATGTTGGCTGACAATGTAAGCACTGAAAGAAGAGGAGATTGGTTTCAGTTGCAGTGCACCAGTTATAGGCATACCAAAGTAATTAGTGATTATTTAAAGTTGTAATTTCAGTTCTCTCTGAAGATTAACTGTATATAGAGATGTCTGAAGCTCGTCATAAGGAATATTAAGATGGGTTGTGGCCCAGTGTTAGGGTATCTGTTTTGCATGCAGAAGGTGCCAAGATCAATTCCTGGCATAGCCAGAGAGGGCTGGGAATGCCCCCTATCTGAAACCATGAAAATCCATCGCCATTCATAGACTCTGTATAATGCTTATATGTTCCTATAAGGGCAACTGTCATTAGGTTGTAGCCACTGGGGATGAACAGCAGAACATGAGGGGTAGACAGTCATATCTCTAAGGCTAGGACAGCCAGAGTGGTACCCTTCAAAGGTTGTTAGACTCCAACTCCCAAATACCCCAAAGCCTTCCTAGCCAGTATATGATGAAAACCAGGCTATTCCAGCATACATCCAAGGCACACCATCACCACTGATAGTGCAACTTTGTGATGCTTGTGCACATCCACACTAGCTTGTCTGCACTGCCAGTGGACAAAACGGGAGGAGTAATTATTATTTATTACAAATTTTATACTCCCTAAGGATTGAGTCCTACCTCAAATTCTAACATAAGACTGCACCGACTTTGACAGTGGTACAAGTGAAAAATAAAGCAGAACACCAAACCACTCACAGAACTCAAGGGAGACCAAAAAACTTGTCTCCTCCTCCCATCACATTCTTCTGATCACAGTGCAGCAGGAACCTATAAACATGAAGCAGGGAGACCATAACTTGGATGTTAAGCAATGTCACCTTGAGGCCTCATCTTGTGCATGCTTACAGCATACAGAGGTGAACACTAGTGACAGGAACGAAGGAGACGAATGAATTGAACAAAAACAAAGCACTTGGCATGAATAGGTGCAAAATAAAGATGTAGAATAAATACTTAAAGCCTTACACTTGTCTACCTAAAACCCTGACATGTACGCTACTTCAGGATGCCTGACACAAACATCCAGCACCCGCCTGCACTCCACTTGTACAACTAAAGATGCAAGGACAGACCCTGTTTCACAGATAAGAAAGGATGCTACAAAGTATAAGTGCTTCAAGGGTTCAACCTAATCACTGAGAATGTTGTTTCCCATACTGGAGACACACAGGTGAGTATTATGTGCTACCATGCAGGTATGCTCTCCATTGGTGAATACCAGACTGTTTACCCTAATCATTGCTACTATTGCCCAAACACATTTGAATACTTCTGGCTTGCTGGATACATGGGAAAGAAGAAACAGTCACTGTGCATGTATGTTGGCTATGCCAAAATATTCTGAAGCAGGATGAGGCATTATTTCAACTCAATCCTCATATAAACTACCACCTTGAGAATATATCATTGAGTCACCAGATGGTTCCTTCCACTGCCAAAAAGGTAGCACAATAAGTTGCAGGAATTGCTGCAAATGCTTATCTCTGAAGATACGCACTTGTGAAATAACTACACAGATAAAATTCAACAATGAAGACCAGTCATGAATGGGATGATGCTTGCCATTTATCTTGCTTAGAAAACAGACCCTTCACTTTTCAACAGTTATTTGTTATTTTGGGTACTGATTCTGGAACAAAGTCCAACCTCCCTTACTCCCATCAGCCTAGAAACGTTTAACCTTAAAGTGTGCACTTTATCTCCGGGCAGAAGCATGGTCCCATTGTGAGACACCCAACACACACAGGGATGTAGTGAAGTACCATATGAAAGCAGTCATTTACTCCCCCAAGAATGGTGGCTATGAAGCAAAATGCCAAACAGGCAACATGGGCCTTCCCTTTCTGTTCATGCAGATGCATACTGAAAGATAAGACCCACATGTACCATTTTCCACATTTACCCTGGCCTTGCCCTCATCTGTGTCCTGATGTCATTTGCATATTCAGGGGGCATAAACATGCATTTCATTAACATCCACTTAAATAATATCATGTGCAGTTTATAATTCACAAGGGTTAACTTGGGCCAAACGCCTTAGTAGAACAGTTCCATTGTGACTCATGTTGAAGCAATAATAGTTATCACATCCAGTATTCATAAAGGGCTACAAAGCTATTCCAAATGTCTATATGCCAAAATCTGCCCTTTTGCAACGCATGCTAATACCCAGCCCTCCTTGACCTCATATTATGCAGCATTCTTCGTTGTAAGGAATGAAATGAAACATGCACAAACCCTTCCCTTTGTAGTACCACAGGATTCTGGTAGGATTTCAACATGCAGCCTGTGTGCAAAGATGGTAGCTTTGAAGACCCTGGGAAGAAGAAAGGACTGAAACAGGTACACATGCTGCATGAAATTCAAGAATAGCTGGGGGGGGGGGAGGGAGTTAGTTGGGTGGCATGTCTCTCCATAGTAAACTTTTGAGGACAGGAGCCTGAAAAGGGGGGGGAGGCAGAAATATCCATTTTTCCGCTTTACATTTTGCAAAAGCTGACAGTGCTGCAAACCTTTCACCAGTAAACGGATATAAGACCCAAAATAATAGTGTCTGGCTGTAAAATGCACGCGGGGGGGGGGGATGCAGACACATGTGATGCTACATTTCTTACTTCCTTCAAATCCCTCCTCAAAACTCACATTTCCATGAAGGCTTTGTGCCACCATGCCTTTCACCACCATCACCTGCACACCTACTTGGAGTCTTTCTCAGGTAAGTAGATAAAGGACTCCAGCCACAGCATATAACTAAGCTAAGGCACATGTAATTGAAACAATTGCACACTGATTTTCTATTTACCACTGCTGCCACTTCTCTCCTTTTCCTCTATTGTTTATTCTATGTTTAAATTTAGATTGCAGGGCCCTTAGGGCAGGGAACTGTCCTCTCATAAACTGTTAAGTGCCATGCACACTGATGGTGCTGAATAAATGCATAATAAAAGAATGGATATGCACAAAGAACTTAGGCAGCAGGATATCTGCGATGGTCTGGATATCCATATCAGTAGTATAAATTTCGGTACATCTCCTATACTAGTCCCAATCAAAAGAAGCACAAGTGCAGCAGTCAGTTATCTATCTACATGCTGGCATTTCTATGGACTCTTAAGTCACCCAACACATGATGAGCGCTGTCAGATTTGACAGTGGTGTTAAACTATTGGGAGGGGTAAGTGACCCCTTGGCCAGGGTAGAAAGCCAGAGGGAAGTTTTGGGGGGATCCTTTCAGCCCCCACCCCATCCTCAAGTCTTGTGATAATGGCTGCTGACAAGATCAGCAGCAATGCTGAATCTCTCGTTTTGTAGGTGCCGTTCTAATTCAGTGTTGGCACACTTTGGCACCAGCAGAAGACACATGGCAATTATGGTTACACATCTAAACCTAGTCCCCACACCTCTCTCCTATGGCAAAAGAACCTGCTAGTAGCACCAACCCCCCTCAGGGTCTATTTTCCCAAAATTCAGCTGCAGTGGAAGTGCTGTATCAGTGTTAGAAAACAGTAATGAGGCTCTATGTTTATAAGCAAAGATACAGTTGCTCAACTGTTCTTCCAATCCAGAAAATCGGCCTGCTGTGGACAGGATTTTATTAGGTAAGTCTAGGGCTTTGTACCTGCTGGTGCACCAGCCATAACCACTCCTGCCCCAAGGTAACCTATCCAGTGTTATTCACCTCAAGGCTGCCTAGTTCAGTGCTTTGCATAGGAGCTGCCTTTGAAGACTTATCCAGTTTTTTTCAGCCTGGATGCTACACCCATCTCTAGAGGCCCTCAACTTTCTGAGGTTAGGCTGGTGACAATTGGACTGTGGGCTTTTGCAGCTATGGTGCTCCAACATGTGGAACGCGCTCCACAAGGAAGCTCACTTAAACCTAATCTCCCATCTTGGCTGTGAGTCCTGGAAGACCTGCTCTCTGCCTCGCAGGCCCTTTTCCGTGGGGCACTGACTGACTACAGTTACAAAAGCTGAGGCTGCTGAAAAGGAGGAGGGGACGGAGGGTGAAGAAAAATCTGTGAATGACAGAGAGCCCTTGTCCCATTCTCTGGACCCACTTGGAAGCTCCTTAAATTTGCAGAGGCTGGAGCTGGGTTTGGAGAGTGAAGCTGAACAAGACACAGCTATGGGCAGCCTGAGGAAGTACCATCCGCTTCGGCCTGCCCATAAAAAACAAGTCTAGAGTGAGAGACTAGGAACTCTTCTCATTGTGAAACTTTTTTTGGGGGGGTGTTTGGACCCTGGGTGAGAGGGAGGGTATGTCAGAAGGAAAATGAATTGAGGTAGGTGTGTGTGTGTATGTGTAACTTTGCATTAATATAACTTTTTTTTATGTAACTGTACTTTTGTAATATTTTAAGTTTTCTGTTGTTGCTTCGGTTTTCTATATACCACCAAGAGATATTTTTAATATAGTAAGTGGTGCAGAAATTAAATGATCAATTCTTTTGACAACTGGCAAATATCCTTTTACTCACCTATGTCTTCCACTGTACCATCTTTTATTTTATTTATTCTTAGTCCTCCAAACAGTTCTTACTGTTCCTTCTGTGTTTTATTTTTATGCAAGTTTCCTACTGTGTATTAAATATTGTTTAAAACTGTTGAGAACCACATAAAGGGTGATGCACAAATGGTTTTAAAATAAATATGCTGCAAAAATAAATATGCCGTCAAAATGTCATGTGATTTTTCTCAGAGTCACCTTTCCCCCAGAGAGCAAAAGTTTATTTAGTCGATCCCTTCCCTCGAATTTGAGAATGACTCTACACATTTTCACCTTCACTGCTTATATCATTCAAATTTTAGGACTGGGAAGAGCCGTGCTTCTATATGAGGGGAGACGAACTGTCTCAAAATGTGCTATATGTGTACCTTGCTGCATAATCAACATCTTACTAGGAGCTGATAAATTGTTGTACTTCTAACTAAAAAGGTTTGGCCTATAAAGGTTTGGCAATATGGAACACACACAGTTGGTTTATCCAGGAACTGAATGCAAAACCCAAGGGAAATAAAACATTTCAACGTAGTAACTCCATCCTCTCGCAGCTATTGCAGCTGTGGCCAAACTTTCTATCACTATCCTGGTCAAAACAGTGAACGTTCAGATAAAATTGCCTTGTGGTCCAAATTCAGCTCATGACTTTGAATACAGTGCAAAGATTCCTATGGTGAAAATCGATAGGTTAATATATTGAG